GTGATGAGATGCAATAAATTCAATGGCAAATTAAACTTTAGAAGGAAGAGTCATGAGGGACTCTTGATCTGATCTTTAGGTAGAGATGTGGAAATGGTCTAGATGGGACACTGTGTTTCATGATCTTACTTTACTGCTTTACATATGGCTTTCTTATGTGTGTTAACCAAGTGGGTTGATGGCCTGAATCTTATTAAAGTCACTTGCAAACAGCTATTACATCATTGCACAAGAGTCTCTTTGCAGTCTGCTTCTAATTCCCCAAGGAAATAAGCCAGAAAGGGAGCAGCCTCACAGCAAGCAGTGTGGAAAAGTGGCAGCACACCTGAGCGGCTGGGAGCCCTAGTTCCCCTCCAGGTGATGCCTGACATTCAGCCCCCCTCCAGGCGATGCCTGACAGTCAAGCTGCAGCCAGCACCACACAGCAACTGGACCAACCTCAAGTTCAAAGTTATAAACCTCACTTTGAAGCAGTGTTCACTGTAAACTAGAAAAGTTCTAAGATAGAAACATTTTGTTCTATTAGAAAGGTCATTACAGGACTAAGGTGAATCAAGAGACATAAAAAAATAAGGATTCCTTTAAATACAGATAGCTCTAGTCAAGAACAGCAGCCCCAGAAATAGGTGCCCTGCTGTTTAAAGTAACTTAACTGATGCAACATCACTAGAAAACAAATTTAAGCATTCCTTTCATTCTGTGAAATTTCAGAAAAAGCTTTTGTAGAAAATTAGTTGTGTGAAAAACATTCTGGCTTCATTTCTGCAACTGTTCTTTTCCATCTGCTTTCACACTGCAAGGGGTTGTGCCCAATGAATTGTTTGTTCCTGTAACATGGACCCTGAGCACCTCCATGTTCCCTGGGTGCACCCAGGGCCGGCAGGATACATGATAGCACTGATGGTGGGAACTGGGTGCCTCCATGGTCCCTGCCACCCAGAGCCCTGGAATACCCAACGAGTATGACTGCACAGCAGTCACCTTGCTCAAAACCACCCTAGCTGCACCCCCAAGTCCTGGAGTGCTTCAGAGCGATGCTCAGAAGTGGTGCTTAAGACTTACCTTGGATCTTTCCCTCCCTTCTCTGAGAAATCACTTAATGCTCTTCTGAAAGGCTGGACACTGCACACAGAGGGTTTTGACCTGGTGTCTCCATCACTACTAAGCTATAGAAGAAAAACATGTAAAATGAGATATTTGCCTCGAAGACTCCCTCCAGGAATACAATCCCTCCAAAAAAGCAAAGCCCTGCAGTCTCTGTCAGCCATATGGGTCCAAAGCATGGGGTGACTGCTGCAGCTCCAGCTGCCAAGTCCCAACCAGAGATGGAGGAGAGGGCTGCTGGCAGCAGTGCAGCTCCTCAGAAATGCTGCCGGGGGACCTGGATGAAAACAACTTGCTGTTGCACTCTTTGGGGCAATATGCATTTATTCACATCACAGACTAGGAAGCAGGTCATAAACAGTGGCTCAATCAAACCCCACTCCCATAGCACCCCTGAGCCACCAGCATGGTCCATGGAGCCAGAACCACCAAGGAGCTCACGGCCAAACCATCTATACAAAAAAATCTGTTTACTTTGATTACAGAGTGTAGCTTGTGCACTGCAAGAAAGGACCTTTAAGCAAGATAAATGACTCCTGCCCAGTCATGCTCTGCCCTGCAGATGATGGCAACTCCTTATGACTACAGAAGGTTTTGTTCTTAACTATAATCTCAGCCACCTTTTACTTTTTAGAGGGAAAATTTGCATGTGGTCTTGTGATTGTGACACTAAAAAAAAACAAACAAACACTAGCAAGCAGAGGTCTGCCACGTTGCCATGAGGTGCTGGAGGGGTTTTCTGCTGGGACATGGCACCCTGAGGAACAGAGCAGCCTGTTAAAGTCTGTGGGCATCACCACATCCAGTTAATTATCTGGGCTGCTAAAACAGAGCCCTGGGACAGTTTCTATACACAGTTTTAGGAAGAGGTTATGTTTTCCATAGTGCATCATGGTACAAAATCATGCATGAGGAAATTGCCACAACAGAACCTTGGTACCCTGCAGCAGGGTGTGCCACACTGTGACACTGAACAGGCAGCCATGCCCTGGCAGGGACATCTCCTTACCACAGGACAGTGTGTAGCCAGAACGCACGACTGCCACAAATCAGCTTTACCGACCAAAAATGAACAGTTCCATTTACAATGTAGTTTCTACATGTAAGCCCTAAAAAAAATAAGTCACACCAATGTTCAAACATAATACTTTTATTTGTGGATAAAAATTAAGGCTCACAGTACTTCATCATTTCACAAGCAGAAAAATGTTAAAAATTGAGAATGATGGGGAATGCCCCCAATACAAATTCCTCTAACTGCTGACATCTTTTACTGAAGGTGAACAATTGTACAGGGCAGCTACAGTTATTAGTTTGTAAACTAGGTGCTAAATGTATCTTTTTAAGAAATGTGAACAGAGTATTATGTTTCTCTCCACTTCTGGCTGTCCAATACACATGGATTCCATAAGAACACTCAAAAACCGCTGGGATGATAACACCAACCTTCCGAAGAACAACCCACCACATCTACAGTGCATGGCATAGGTGTCAAACAGGGAGAAAAGAGCTAAAGATCACAAATTTAATTTTGATAAGACATTTTGATTATAGTGCAATATGTCTAAAATTTTCAACTTTTGGGGGGGGTGGGGGGGGTGGAAGCAAAACCCAACAAAAAACAACCCAAACCAAAGTATGCTCTTAAAGAGCACAGGAGTTGCTGTTAAGCTCCATTTCATTACAGACATGAAAACAACCCAGATGATTAAAAAATGGTAAACATGTATGTCAAACTTCAGTATACACATAGCATACTGGCATAAATCACGCCTATAGTCAAGATGCAACTCCAAGAAGGACTTCCAAGTGCGCAACATGCCATGAATAAGGTCCCTGCTCAGGTGTGCTGCAAGTTCATGTCCAACAGGTAGAACAGATACTGCAACCCCCAACCCAATGGGCATCACCAATTGCCACACAACTTTTCTTGTGAGTTACATCATTACTATGTGACTACACACTGCAGAGTTATTTACACAGAGACCAACTCTCAGTCAAAACTAAGAAGGGTTTAAGAGGTGCTCTATATCCTTTGCATTACTCCTTAGTAATTCCTTCTGCTTAGTCTATTTGCTGTCAAGGCAACATAAACTGGCAGCAGGAGCAAGAGAAAGCCTACTTACAATAAGCAACAACTGCCATAGCATTAAAAGGCTGAAAGACTTCTGCATCACACCAAGAAGATGCATTTCTTGTCATTGCACCATTTACATCTGAGATATGAACACAGTAATGAAAGCAACCACCCTCAGCTTTTTATGATAAAAAGTTAAAACGTACCTCACGGCCATAATTTCATTAGGGAGCTTTCTTTTGAGATGAGCTACAAAGAAAATATGTTTGCAACAGAACCCATGCTTTAACAGATTCTGCCATGGCAAACACAGACATACAGAATTTCTGACCAACAGCTCTCACAGCTCACAATCCAGTAATAAAAGAATATTTGTATTGGTAATACTTCACTTACATCACAAAAGCTCATCCAAAGGGCTCAAAGGGGTTACGAGACATGTGGGTGAGAATTACTACCCCCATTTTATACAGGGGGCAGCTGAGATATTGATCAATTTTCCAAACTACAAAACATGTCAGAACACAGGAGCAGTGTTCGGGGGGGGGGGGCAGTGTCTCCAACTCCAAATCATCCTGGCCACTGGTCTGCTGCTCTCCTGCATGCCTGTGGCCCCAAAGGGTTTCAAAGAGCAGAGGGCTGTCACACACCATCTCCTCCCCCAAAAGAAAAAGCACCACTCTGACACAAATGAAAGAATAAATTTACACAAGTTAGCCTGTTCCTACAAGCAGAAATTAAACCAGATTTCCATAACATGTAGGCAGCAAATGTTAGAACAACAGGAAAATGTGTGCAAAAGAATACAGAACAAACACTTTCAACCATTATTCCAGTTCACAAATTTATGCAAGTGGAAATATAAGTAGATACAGCCATGAAATACTCCATGTTATTGAACAGTTTAAAACAAGTATTTTACCCTAAAATAGTAGGATAATCTTGAGCCAAATGAAATGCAATTGCTTAAATTAAAAAAAATAAAATAAAATAAACATGGCTAGAGGGATGAGCCTGGATACACAGTTATGGCTCCACCGGCAGAAGTACCCAACAGGCACCCAGCAAGCTGCTCAGGTCAAAATTTAACTGTCACTTTCAGCAGTCGTAGACATGCTCAAAATTCTCAGGTCGAAGGAATAGTTTTGCCTCAATACATCAGAAAAGCAAAGGTGTTCAAAGCAACCATCTCTCAAATTATTGCTTACTTAACTATATAAATGCAGAATACGAATGACAGAAAGGATCTATGCAGACTGGGCAAATCACCCCTGATACCACAACCCCACACTAATAACTACAATGAGGTTAGAGGTCAAGCTAAGTACAATACATACAAAAAAAAAATTCCTGTAAAAGCAAATGCATAGAAAATAAACTAATCAAGTATATGGAAAGCACACTGACAGCAGGCTGCAAAGGGACTGTGGTGTAAGTGTCAGAGGACAGAAACAGGACTCGCAGATCCAGGAGCTCTGGTGCAACTGCTTTCCAAACCGCACTCCCGTTTTTTATACTTCCATCAGAGTCCTCAGAAGCACATAAAGATACTTCACTGTCTGGAATTTGACATATGCATACATGCAGTATGTGTATACTAAAGATTAGCTGGTGTGTTTGTTACCAACACACACACCCCTACTGAGCAATGCAAGAGGGAGTGAGTACAGAAAGACAGACAGAGGTAATTTCATATTTTAGCATTGCCCTTTTGGAGCTCAACATTATTGCCATTGGCTAATATGTCAAACGATACAGAATAACCTTAACGGTATACAACAGATACACAGGAATTCCACAACTCAACAGTACCCACTACTCCATTTGGCAAAATATTTATTTATAATAAATCCGTTCAAAAGCAGTTGGTCACATGGAATTCATTTTACATTTTTTAGGCTGTAACAATGCTTTTGGTAGAAGTAAATAAACTGTCTTTTTATAGAGTGTACAAAAACAGAGACATTGAAATGACAGTTAACAATAAAACACATGAAAACAGAAAGAATTGGTAAGACAAAGGCAAAAGCAATAGGAATCTGTCTGCGCACCAGCAATGCTGCCATGATTATTTACCCGTACAAATCCTCAGCCCCACTTAGTTACTATCCCCAGATCTTAACCGCAGGTTTATGCTCCTGGAGAGGAATCTGATGTGATGTAGCAGCTCCAGTCACTCTTTCACAGTACTGCATGTCAACACTGGGAATGGTTTCTGATATGACTTAGACTGCACACAGTACTTCAATAGAAAAAAAGTTAATTACTCCCACTCTGTGGTTCCTGGTGGCTTTGATGTCAAGTCATACATCACTCGAGAAATGCCAGGAATCTTCTTAATCTCTGCCACCATTTTTAACACAACCTATTGTGGAGAAGAAAAATAAATCAGAAGTATGTAAAGCAGACTTGATGAAAACTACCGGAGAAAGAGCTTAAAAATGGAAAACTTTGTTCATGCTAATTCTGTCATACACAAGAAAGAACACGTAGATATTAGCATATTACTACCTATTAACAAAAATCAACAAACCCTCTAGCTTCATACCTGCAGTTTTATTTGGAACGTGCCATTTTTTTGGCACTGATAATAAACCAGGGTATCGATCACAATACACTTCCCTCAAGGGAAATACACACATACACTTCCACAACGGAAATACACAATACATTTCCCTCAGGAGTGTTGCATCCCAACTAGAAGGAAGTGCAGCAGGAGGGCCAGGAGACCTCCTTGGATGGATAAGGAGCTCCTGAGGAAAATGCAAATGAAAAAAGAGGCATATAATAAGTGGAAGCAAGGACAGGCAAATAAAAAACAGACTAGGGAGAATGTAGGCCCCCTCAGGAAGCTCTCGGGAGAACTGGCTACACAGGATTTGGAGAAGGCTTAGGGTCTGAATGACTTCTTTGCCTCGGCCTTCACTGGCAAAGGCTCTGACCAAACCACCCAAGTCTTGGAAGGCAGATGCAGGGACTGTGAGAATGAAGACCTTGCGCCCACTGTAGGAGAGGAACTGGTTCGAGACCATCTTAAAAACCTGAACGTGCACAAGTCCATGGGTCCTGATGAGATCCATCCGCGGGTCCTGAAGGAGCTGGTGAATGAAGTTGCGAAGCCGCTGGCCATCATATTTGAAAAATAATGGCAGTCAGGTGAAGTTCCCAATGACTGCAAAAAGGGAAATATAACCCCCATTTTCAAGAAGGGGAAAATGGATGACCCAGGGAATTACAGACCAGTCAGTCTCACCTCTGTGCCTGGCAAAATCTTGGAGCAGATTCTCCTGGAAGGCATGCTAAGGCACATGAAAATCAACAAGGTGCTTGGTGACAGCCAGCATGGCTTCACTGAGGGGAAATCCTGCCTGACCAATTTGGTGGCCTTCTATGATGGGGCTACAGAACTGATGGACAGGGGTAGAGCAGTTGATGTCATCTACCTGGACTTGTGCAAAGTGTTCGACACTGTCCTGCGTGACATCCTTGTCTCTAAATTGGAGAGACATCAATTTGATGGATGGATCACTCAGTGGATAAAGAATTGGCTGGATGGACACACACAAAGAGTTGTTGTCAATGGCTCAATGTCCAGCTGGAGACCAGTAATGAGTGGTGTCCCTCAGGGATCGGTGTTGGGACCGGTCTTGTTCAACATCTCTGTCACTGACGTGGACAGTGGGATTGAGTGTGCTCTCAGCAGGTTTACCGATGACACCAAGCTGTGTGGTTCGGTTGATATGCTGGAGGGAAGGAATGCCATCCAGAGGGACCCTGACACACTTGTGGGGTGGGCTGATGCCAACCTCATGAAGTTTAACCATGCCAAGTGCAAGGTCCTACACCTGGGTCAGAGCAATCCCAGGCACAGCTACAGGTTGGGCAGAGAAGAGATTCAGAGCAGCCCTGTGGAGAAGGACTTGGGGGTGTTGGTTGATGAGAAAATGAACATGAGCCGGCTTCAGTGTGCGCTTGCAGCCCAGAAAGCCAACCATATCCTGGGCTGCATCAAAAGGAGCGTGACCAGCAGGTCGAAGGAGGTGATCCTGCCCCTCTACTCTGCTCTTGTGAGACCTCACCTGGAGTATTGTGTGCAGTTCTGGTGTCCTCAACATATAAAGGACATGGAACTGTTGGAACAAGTCCAGAGAAGGGCCATGAGGATGATCAGGGGACTGGAGCACCTCCCGTATGAAGATAGGCTGAGAAAGTTGGGGCTGTTCAGGCTGGAGAAGAGAAGGCTGCGTGGAGACCTCAGAGCAGCCTTCCAGTATCTGAAGGGGCCTATAGGGATGCTGGGGAGGGACTCTTCATTAGGGACTGTAGTGACAGGACAAGGGGTAACGGGTTAAAACTTAAACAGGGGAAGTTTAGATTGGATCTAAGGAGGAAATTCTTTCCTGTTAGGGTGGTGAGGCACTGGAATGGGTTGCCCAGGAAGGTTGTGAATGCTCCTCCCCCGGCAGTGTTCAAGACCAGGTTGGACGAGGCCTTGGGTGATATGATTTAGCATGAGGTGTCCCTGCCCATGGCAGGGGGGTTGGAACTAGATGATCTTAAGGTCCTTTCCAACCCTAATTATTCTATGATTCTATAAGGTAGCAGCTCTTCGGCTTTTCTATTTCACTGTTTCTGTACAGTTCAGCAGGAACATGTTATGTGTTCCTACCACTCACTTTCAGACTTTTCTCAGACCATCTCCAGCTGAGCCACCATCAACTACAAAGCAAGACCCAGAGTAAAACCCCTTTCGAAACAAAAAAGGGAGCTTTAAAGATAAAAAAAAAAAAAAAAACACACACCAAAACCAAAATCCACACGCACCAAAAAAATTAACCAATAACAAACAGGAAGACACGTCCAAAGGAAAGTTTCCGTTGAGCATCATCCCCCAGATTTCACAATCAATTCATGTTCACAAAAGTATTCTAGATGAGAACTTGCTTAGAAGTTCAGCTTCCTTAAGTATCCCACAGTTCACAACAATGCCACTTACATGATGTGCTGTTTTATAGTGAAAGCATAAATTAAACCATGCATTGCTCTCCATGGAAAAACATAGGAAATTTTAAAATCAGATATGATTAGTTTCCCCATGTTTTCCACAACCTCTACTATTTTGTTACCACATTATTACCTAGTCTTAAAGTGACCACTTTACACTCTGAAGACCGGGGTGGGAGTCATTTGGGTCTGGGTTTGTGGTATTTGGTTATTTTGTTTGTTTTTAAACACAAAATTCAAGCTCAAATGACTCCCCATTTTATATAATGGAATAGTTTACATTGTAGCTTAACCTTGAAACATTTCTTTTTAAATGAATAGGTTGCCCTACAGTAGAAGCCTTCAGTATATAATTACTAAGAAATACCTATATGCTTTTAAAGTGTGTTTTAAAAAAAGTCAATCCTGTTCATCTACACTGCATTCCCAGAGAGACAAAGTACTTGAAATTGGACATACATAAAGTTTCCTAGAAAAATATGCCTGCACTTGACTCCTACATCCTCTTAGTGACCTAAACAGAAACAGCACACATCGAGATGTTAAACAGCAGGTTCTAGTAAAATCAGAAGCGTAATCAAGGTCAATTCTGTATGTCAGGACATTTACAATTACTAATGCAAAATACTGATTTCAAAACCCCAGGAATGGTTGTGGTATTTTTCCTTTTTTAATTAATGGTATTTTTGGCTCAACTCTACTGGATAGCCTTTAAGTTTGTCATAACCATCTGCCAGCTTCTTGTTTTGTTATAGTTTTTTCCCAAAATACCAGCATATTCATCTAAATGAATACAACGAAAGAGACAGAAAGAGCACAACAAAATGAAAGTCAAGGCAAGCAATGAAGATAGAGGGAATTAAAAGTGAGGCATCTGTAACACTAGCTCATGTCGAAAAGAAGCTTGAAAACCTGTATTACCTCTTCTGGAACCTCATTACCAGGAGTTGCTGCAATACCAGTCATAAAATCACTTGTAATAAAAGTCCGAATGACCACAGATCTTTGACAGGAAGGCTGTTTCTGTAGGGGGTCCCGATCAAAATGCAATGGTGTCAATATTATCGGCATCTGGCTAATTTTTCCGGCGTAACCTTCAGAAAACAGTAATATAAAGTGCATTAGTTTGGCTTAAAGACTCAAGCGTGATAGAAGTTTCTCAGAATTTCCCACATGTACTTAGAAATATGTACCAGGTGCTACATTTGCATCTTCTGTGATCTTGTTGCTCCTGCTACCACACCCCAGATGATCACACTCAGGGTGCATACACCAGAACTACACAAGTTGCCACTTGAAATGTCTTTGCAGGCATGCATTAAAAAAAAAAAAAAAAACAACAAAACCCAGATAGCCTCTGTTATCCCCATAATTCACTGTGAATACAATTTAAGATCTACTTTCTTTCCCAAATAACATACCATGGGGTTTTATCTACCCCTGTACCAAGCCCAATAAAATAAAACCCATTCACAAGTATTTCTGCATCTTTTGACATATTTAAGAGAAAGCTCCTGAATATCCCTGTTGCTGGTAGCTGAAGGTAACTCCAGACAGTCATCTCTCACTCTTTTTTTTTCCTAAACCTCCTTCTGAAGAAAACCCTAATTTCACTGTTTAAATGATCTGGAAGTCTGAGATTTAGATGTGTGGCAGCCTGCAGAACCAGTCTAACACTGACAGGCTTCTCACCCTCTGCTAGCACCGGCCTGAGCTGTTGGTACAAGCAGTCTTTTTCACTAAATGACACATCTTATTTTTGGGAGTAATTCACTCACACAAAACTAAGTGTCATCAAAAGTTAGCAAGACACATCTACAGTTTTACAAACACAATTGACAGTGTTATCCTCAGCCTCTTGAGGCTAATTCTATACAAATTTTGTTAAGACTGCCTTGCAATCCAAATGTATTTTCAAAAAGATATTCTTTGTGACTTCATAATAGGAAAAAAATGAAAAAAAACCCAACCACAACCAAAAAAAACCAAACCCACAAGAAACAACCCCCCATACCCCCTGAAAAAAAAACAACAACAAAACAACACCCACAGAAAAAAAAAAACAAAACAACAAACCAACAAACAAAAAAACCCAAACAACTGAACCCTGAACCTTGGAACTATGATATTCTCAGACTCTGCCCATGTACCTTATCACAGGATACTGAATGCTCCCTAGATGTTAAGGGCTTGAAATATTATGCCTTGAAGCCTCAAGTGGCTGGCTTTACAAATACAGCTTCTACTTTAAGAAATATGAAACCACCACAGGCAGTGAACAACACCATAAAAAACTTGGTATTCGGGCTTCTTTCTTTCCACAAAAAAGAAAGAAAAATCCAAACCAACCAAACAACCAAAAGAAAAAGGACACCCAAACCGATGAAAACATGATTTAGAAACTATGTCAAATTCCTTTACACAGTTTTTTTACTTCAGGTAAATACTGATAACTGAGATCAAAGTGCAGTAATAAAGCTGTTCAGTCAGCTAACTGTAGTTTTTACAGAAGCTTGAACTGCAGTGAAACACTGTACTTCAGCACTTCATGATGTCTCAGAAGCAAGCCTCCACACCCCCCAATCCCCGAAAATTAGTTCTGCTAGCAGAAAGGCTAGCAATTCCTGTATTCCTGCCACTCAGCTATCAGCTTCTACAACTGTCAGAAAAGGCTCTTGCCTGTCATCCCATTAATTTATTACTTCTTTTGAGATACTTGAGAAGCTTGTAAATTCCAGCAGTACCACTATAACTATACCTAGTTAGATTTGCAGGGATCTTGAAACAACAATCTAATCCATGAGATAAGGCGAAGTACCTACCAGACTCCCTGAGAATAGTGTGAGCCTCAAAATCAGCTTGTCGTAAAGTGCTGAGGACTCCTGTTGTCAGGAAAGTGGGGGTGACATCTGTAGGAGGTTCTTTGACTGGTGGTCCGAACACATACACAACTCTGGAAAGTAAACAGGATACCAGGATGGTAGGGGGAGGAAAAAAATAAAAATAAAATACCCCAAACCACACCAAACAACAACAAAAAAACCCCACGCATTTTGCACACATAAAATACCAGACTGCCTAAAGATGGCATCTTTAGTATTGCTGTGAGAAAATAAAGCTAGGGAAAAAAGGCGTAATACTTGATTTTGCTCCTTAGTTACTAAGGAGAGCTTTATATAACTTCATGCATATATTCCATAAGCATGACATGCATGCTAGCTTTGGAAGTCAGGCATATTAATTTATTTTGGCTTGCTAGAGACTATCAATAGCCCAAATATTACTTGAGGGAATACTCCTCTCAAAACACAGATATACAAACTCAGCGGTAACACAAAGCACATTTTTTCAATTTTACTTTGATGTCAGTAAAAGTTAAGATTATTACAAGAAAGCTATGTAATAAGTGTTTACAATTTCTATCTTCCCTCCTGATAGGAAACCAACAAAAAATAGTAAACCTTGTTGTTAATCAATAGGTGTGTTTTCAACACAGGGCACTAAACACTGCAATCTACATAACTATATCTGTAATAAAAAAATCTCCTAAATTCAAACCAGTCACATCAGCTTTATTCCTTATCTCATTCACTGTGGTTTATATGTTGCAGAACAAAAAAACAAAAGTATGATACTGACTGGCGTCATACAAGGATTTACTATGACGTATTCACACAAGTTGAGTTTGCAGATACAAACCAAGAATACTAATCTAAAATCCAAAGCAGAAAAACATGCAAGCTTTACATTCTATGTATTTGTTTGCAATATAAAATCTGCAAGCATAGTTGGGCAGAGGACTAACTACTTCAGTGCTCTCCTCACACTGCCGGTTTCAGCATCACTATGAACAGCAGTGAAAGACTCCGAACACATACCCTGGTACAGCAGAACTCCCAGAGTTGTGGTATATTCAGAACCATAGTATTAAATCCAAAAGAGCTTAAAGAATACAGCAATGCTGCAAATCCAGGATACACAGTCCTGATTTTATGCCTTCTTTGGTTTGCCCTGCATTTAAAGAAGTATCTTGCAATTCAAGATCTCACCTTTAATAATATCACGTGACACTCTTCAGATGCCACTTACGTGACAAAGTTAAGTTTTGCTATAAGCAATTACAAGCAGTTTTGTTGAACAGCCTACAGCCAGGCAAGGAGAATAAGCATTCTCTAGAACTGATTTAATATCTAAGCAACTTCACCTGCTAGAAAAGTTATGGAATCAAGTAGCTAGAAAATGTACATTCATAAGAGAGCTCAATTAGTATTAAACCCAGCTTTGGATCTCACCTATGTGCCATTAGAACTGACAGTCCCAAATAAATCCTTTTGGACACAAAGCAAGAAAAAATACTGCACGACATCCGGATTTATCAGCAGGATTGGAATCCTTCAAAAAAGATTTTGCCTAAGTTACACTGGATGTTGTCTAATCAAGTGCTTAAAGAAAATTAGAAGATTAGTTTATTTCTGGACTTGCAAGCTTAAAAAAAAAAAAAAATCAATATCCTGTGCTTTGACTTTTTATCTATTTGTAACCTCTGCATAATAAGCCTGTCCAACACACAAAAAAATTATACTATAGTTTAAACAGGAGAATGTTTGTGCATGCTAAACTTCCATACATTAGAAGCAAAGATAATTCAAAATACTTACCTGTTTATGTTGTGGCACATGCGTGGTATAAGCCTGGCAAGAAACATAAGAGACTCCCAGTGTGGAGCATCTTTACTAGAGATCCCACAAACATAGCTATATGAACGGCAGTCACCCTATAAATTAAAAAGAAAAAGAATAACTGAATGTGAGCTTTTCTGCCAAAATAGGTTCCCTTTCACCCTGTAGGCTACAGGACCGTATTTTGTGCCAGCACTTAGCAGACACTAAACTGGTGCAGCCAATATGATGAGAGACACCAGGTGAATGAGAAAAAGAGTAAGATGACAGACCTCTCATGAGCTAACAAGAGCATATAAAAAGAAATATTCAGCATGGAAAGATTCATGTAAGGCAACCAGAACATAGGGACTGAAAGCAGAAGCAGCCCTCAGAACATCCCTCAAATGAACCCATTTACCTGCACCCCCACAGTTTTGATTGGTAACAAGAAGGCATTCAGTGAATGTAGGCTTGTAATCTGCATCAGTTTCTCCTGGTCTTCTTCGGTTGTACATGCTTTGACCCTTTGCAGCAAAGTATGCGGCTGTGCAATGATGCAGAAAAATACATTTTAAGTGAAGTCCCCAAACACTCAAACAGAACTTATGCAGTGCAAACGAAATAGTTATTTAAGTAGCTGTTTGCTTAATTTTAGTCTACATTTATCCCTTGGGCACTATTTAAAACACACCCTTCATTTAACAACTAAATTTTGGCAAAACCAATTGTATTTGATTAGACTGTATGTATTTAAAGCTAAAGCTCTCTAAGACAGCAAGTGAAGTTTTTTTCCTATGCTCATTCTCTCATTCACAGAACTGTATTTTCCTTTTTTTGTCTGTTTCATCGACAACAAAGCAATATCCTGTTATGCTACACTACAATATGTTTTAAATGAAAAGCACATGTAAATCCTCGACCTTCAATACTTGTAAAAGTTTTGGAAGTTGCTCTGAACTTACACCTTAGAACAGACCTCTGCTAAAAACTTTTCAGCCCCCCTGTAGTTTAGTTCAGGTGAGTTTACAATTATCACAAAGGCTGTAACAGTTAAAAGACTGAGAACTGAAACATCACCAATTAAAAACTTCAGGTTTTTGTTCAGGACATCTGTTCCTCACTCCTGCACTTTCATTCAGACATTCAGGGACTGCTAAGGATGCAAACCTAAAATGTTACAATTATTTCAGGGAGGGAAAAACCTTTTTCTGATACTAAATGATTTGCAGTACCTCCAGAAATCTCATCTGCGCAAAGTTTAACAAACAAAATTTATTTAGTATTTGAAAGGTCTGTAAGCTTCCATCATCCAGAAAACATTCAACACCTGCATCAGTCATGATGATAAAAACTCTACTGTACTATAGTGAGTGGCTTCTAGTGAATTGCACTGGGATGAATTATTCCTTAAAGAGCCCAAGTAGTTTTAAACTTTTAGCAGCTGAAGCCTCATTGCAGGCCACTACAGAATGGTCAATTACTTTTACGCATGTTAGAATTTATCAATTTTGTTACCTTCTTAACACTTGCAGAAAAATCTGCAACTATTTTCAAAATGTTGTTTGTTTCAGGAAAGTCTTTGCACACATAAGGTTCTTCAGCACAAATCACTCTGATTGCTAGCCCAGGACCTGCAATGCAAAGTTGAAAAAGCATTATATCAAATAACAGGAAACCAACTTTCAGCAAAATACGTGGCAGCATCTGGAACATCAGGTCAGTCATTGAGTACAGTATGTTTTGCCATGGTACCTACACTTCAATTGTCTAAACACCCTACAAGACAAAAAAATATATTAGCAGTTTATTCCGGAACAATATTTCTGTTCAGGACATTTAAGCTTTATTTGCCTACACCTTAAATTGGCTGATTGTGTAAAGCAGCAGTTAGTGGTGATGAAGTGTGGTGGATGGCAAGTCAAAGTGAACAAGAACCTCCTCCTTCCTTTTGGTAGGCAACTGGGATAAAAGAGCTGGCTTTAATATACATCTGAGTCTCCACTGTATTTAAAGACCTCTGATGGCTATTTGACCTTTAAACTGCTTAATACAAAAGCATATGTAATTTGCTTGAAGTGTCTGAAGACAGTTTCTTGCATTTCATGCGATGCGGGTGCATGAGCACAACAGCCTACGCGCTTTGTCAGTGACTACTACACACCCTGCAGGACGATTTTAAAACACATGGACAGAAAAACATACTCCTCTTAAAAGATGTGGATTTTCCTGTATTATATACTTGGATGTTTTCTTTGCAAGCTTTTTCAAGTTTGGTGTTTTGTTTGCTGTTTGTTTGGGATTGGGGTTTCTTTGTTTTGTGCAATCTTTTCTTCATGCAATCATTTTCAAAACAGCAAACGTCCCTTAAAAAGGCAGGCAGATAAGCCGTTATTTCACGTGAGATACATTTGACAGCTCAGGCAGCATAGAACTGCACTTGACTGATAATTCTTGCTTTGGCTTATAAAACTAAAAAGAAACAAATGCAGCTAAAAGCAAACTCAATTACAAAGCTCCTCTTTTAATCACTAATATGTAATAAAGCTGCTTTGAAATGTTCTTTTGCTGAAAGAGGATCCCGCTTAAATAAAAACAAATCCATCAACAACTTCTGTGTTTAGAGGCAAGTTTTATATTCCAACATACTGCAGATTAAGTATTTTCTAAACAACACTGATGCGATAGTTAGCCCGTCATTAAATAGCACAGACCAACTCATACCTGGGAAGGGATGCCTTGAAACCAGCTCTTCAGGAAGACCGAGTTCTCTTCCTAGCACTCGCACTTCATCTTTGTGAAAGTCTTTCAGTGGTTCTATTACTTTACCCTTAAAAAGAAAAAGCAATTTACTCTCCAGTGTACATATTCAAACAAAAAGCCTCTAATGTTTAGGTTGTGGCAATCAAATAGGCATGCTTTTCACAGAATGCAATATGACACTTGCATAAACACTGGAGAAAAAAAAAAAAACTAAACCCAAACAACTTCTGTGTGTGAATATGGGCTTTGTAAAACAGTTGCAGGACAAAGTGTAAGACAAGGAAGTTTGTGCCAGAAGTATCAATGGCTCAGTGTAGATAGAGGCAGCTTGACCTTGCAGCTATGTCTTCACAAATTCAGACCCTCCTTGTCATTGCTAGATGTCCAAACCAATCTAAAAGCCTTGGAAATACTTTGTGCAGCAATGAATATTAGAAGTGTGGATCATTAACAATCCCTCTTCTCTCCTGTGGTCGAGTACTTCCTAATAACTGAGCACCTCTGACAGGGTTTTTATGTGATGTCTTGTGTTGGTTCTTTCTTAAGAGTATTTTATAATACTGTTAGAGAACTTACCATTCTAATGTCAGAAAAGGCAAAATAAGGCAGTCTCCTGCATTTACTAGTACTTAGAGCTCTGCACAGAAAAGGTATTCAGAAATCTTTTCAGGACTTTGGACTAAATAGCCTGATTTAAAGTATGATCAAAGGGACAGAACTTGGACTGCTTATCCTCAGACAGCTCAACATCCTGTGCTCATATTATCTTCAAGTGCCAATCATCATCCATAGGGGTCCATGTTGGGCCATTTCAGAAAGATCTGTGGGTTCTTAAAATTGACGACTGGCAAACAGGCTCTGTGCCACTAGCATGCAGCTGGCGGACAGCCGGTCAGGTTACTAGAAACATGATGCAAAAGCTGCAAAAGAACAGAAAGAACTCACCCCTGTAGGTACCTGAAGGAATTACTCCTAAATTTCAACCCATTTAAGTGTATCATTCTCATTCTCTCTCTCCAAAGAGAGGACACTATGCTTGCAGTGCTGCTGAATGTTACAAGAGGCTCGAAAGGAGAATTTTGGCCGAATACTATGCTTGCAGTGCTGAATGTTACAAGAGGCTCAAGAGAAGGAGAATTTTGGCCCTCTCTTAACAGCAGATTATCTTTTCACTGAGGCACTGTCACCGCTCTTACCCAATTCCATGATGTGCCAGATCTTGACTTTTTAGATCCCATTTTTTAGATCCCTTGACTATTTAGATCCCCTTGACTATTTAGATCCCCTTGACTATTCAGATCCCGTTGGATCCCATTTAATCTTGTTTAGATCCCATTGGATCCCATTATCCCTCACTACCACAAATTATGCAATCGCGTTTCCCCACATTTGGGGAAACCGCAGGGATCAGCACACCCAGAGTGCAAGGGATGAACCTCGCCCTGGGAAAACCACCAATAATAATAATAAGGGAAACAACAAGTGAAGAGAATACAACCACTCACCACCTACCAACCAACACCTAGCCCGACCCAAGCAGCGATCTCCGCCTTTTGGGTAACCGCCCCCAGTTTATATACCGGGCATGACGTGCTCTGGTATGGAATACCCCTTTGGCTACTTTGGGACAGCTGTCCTGTCTCTGCTTCCTCCCGGCTTCTCCTCCTCCCTGGCAGAGCATAAGACTCAAAGTCCTTGGTCAGAGTAAACATTACTTAGCAACAACTAAAAACACTGGTATTATCGGTGTTGTTCCCAGACTGAAAGTCAAAAACACAGCACTGCACCAGCTACTAAGAAAAACGACTGCTACTGCTGAACCCAGGACAGTATCCACCCCTTATTTCATACCATTCACATCATGCTCAGATGCCACATTTTTTCAATATATCATCACTCTTGGTATTCAGAACAAGATACAACAGAAGGAATAAGTTGTATCTTATGATGTGTATCATCACATCATGAATTCCAGCTGAACCAGAATAAAGTTATCTGAGAAGTCTTAAACCACACTGCTGCTAAAGACATTTGGTATTGCTCTGCTTCCTTACTGGAATACAGGTTTGTTTTGAGCGTTAAAAAGTAAGAGTGAGGAAACAGCTTTCAGCTTACAGCTGTCCCCCTGAAAGGATACACATTTAATTTGTTGGCATCTTTCTCAGTATCCAGTCCTGGACAACACTTAAACAATTTAAACTACTTTGAGAATGCAGCAAATAGAAATAAGTGTAATAAACTGCAATGTATTACAATAGAACCTGAAAAGCCCCATCAGAATAGGTTCCCATCAACATGGGACAGTTATACCAACAAAACAGAGGTTGGTCAGTTTTGGTACTCAGTTTCACATCTCTGAGAACCAGAAGGATACATCAGAAGTATCCCCATTTTCATTTACCTCTTCTCTTAACTTCCGAATCAGTTCTGTGTCATTATGATGGGTTTTGATGACTTCAGCTTTGCCACTTGCAACAAGGGAAGCACTTTCAATAAGATCAGGTCTGAGGGTACCCTGAGCAAGAAAAACCTCTTCAGGCTTCAGATTCATTTCTCCAATAACTTCATTGGCAATCTGTAAGATAGAGAGGGGGAGAAGAAAAAAAAGAGGAAAAACAAAAGCATTCCAATATTTTTTTGTTGTCAAAGGTCTAAAGGAAGATAATGGATTGCCCAACATGCCAAATGCCACTGAGGTGCAAAAGCACAAACAGGAAAAGTAATTCTGACACTAACCCACTGCTGAAGTATTTCTGTAACCCTGTATTTTGTTGAACAGGAAAAGGAAAATATACCTTCAGACTACAAGAATATCATTGCCTGTTAAATGCTATACTCTCTGTCCACCACCAGCATTCATAGCTAATAGATGGAAAATGGCTTACCTTCAACAAAGCGACACCCTAATTCACCTTACCCACCAATTTGGTGAAAAACATTACATGGGAGCTTATGCAACAGAAATGAATGACCAACCAACACAGCATATCTAAACACTATGACGGATCTAACCCAACGCCTGCAAACAATGTTATGACCACTGACTGGCTGCCAATAGCTTTAGGCTTATGGTAGCATACCAATGGCTTTTTCAGTCACCCACAACTTGCAAGACCACTGATGCCACTGAGCGCACAGTACTTAAGAATTAAACAGTCTCATGTAGATGATGCATCTAGAAGTCGTATTTAACAAAACAAACAAACAAAAAACCCACAAAAAAATCCAACCAATAAATAATTTTAAATATTACCTTAACAAAGGTGTCACCAATAATTTTTCTTTTTTCTTCAGGACTTGTAGTCATATTTAATGTCTTGCTTATTCTTTTACGTGGAGTTCTGTCTTCATCTGAGATGGGCAGGGTTGTTGTACCATTGTAGAATGAATGAGCTGCATTCACCACTGCATGAAATTACAGGAATTTGTTGGCAAAGCCAATAAAAACTATTATGCAAGGTTGCAAAAAATAAATTTCACTCTATTGCTTTAAAAAAAGAAAATAAAATCATTCTAGTCCTCCACTTAATAACTGCACTAAATAAGGCTGTTCAATACCTGAAGAACTAACTGTAACAAAAGCATTTTATTTCTTTTATTAACCTACTCTAGAGGGCTTTTTTTTTTTCCTCCTTATTATGAGGCTAGGAAACCATGTGAAAGTTCAGTTCTTGCCTTCCTTCTTAGATTATAATCTACTTGCTTTATTTAAATAGTTTACAAGACAGTATTTCCCCAAGGCCTTTCGGCAACCAAAATTAAATAAAGTACTATTTACTCATGGTACATTATGCCTCTTAATTTAAAGAGTCTCTCAATGCAGAGATCAGCTAGGAGGCTCTTCAGCATCTTTTACCAGCACTGAACTCCATGACCTACAGAAGGAGCATTTCCAGCAAAGGGATTCCTTCAATTCGCTACTGTAGCAGCCTGCCAGAGCCCAGGTTTATCAGTCTACAAAGTGGAAGAACATGACACAGATTTTTCCACTAATAAAAAGTGGAAATTAATAAATACTAAAGGGAGGGGAGTAAAAGCAAAAACACCAATGTGTGCAGAACAAAGTTAAGCTTAGACTTTACTGTGTCAGGAGACTGCAGCCCAAACTGCAAAACATTAAGGTGCAGCTCCCTGTACTGTTTCACACTGTCAGGCTAGTGGAAAGCATTGCTCACCTAGTGTCATGCTTCCTCACCAAAACACAAGAGAATCACTTGACAACAGCACTTATGCACAGCCCCAGGAATAGGCAGCTATTACTCATGAAATAAATCAGCCAGGCAGTATAAAGCAGCTCTTATTTTTCTACAGCTCAAGCATACAGAATTTGTCTTCCCTGACCTCTTCATACTTCAGCCACCAAAACCCTCTGAACCTTATCAGCCATGACAAGGTACATTCTACTCCCACATAATGCATTGCTTCTCAGCAAGCTACTCCAAAACCAACTAAAATGCACCTATTTAGAAGCCAGGAGAGGAAGTGAAAGTAAAAGAAAAAAAAAAAAAACAAAAAAAACAAAAGAAAAGCCTTGAAAATGTAATTTTGAGCTCACAGTTTAAAAAATAAAGAGATCAAGGAGGAGAAATAAAGCTACAGTGGAGGACCGTTAATCATGTTACTGAATAAAACTGCAATCGAATCAGTTTTGTAGCAGCTAAAAGGGATTACTCATCAGCAGAAAAGTGACCAAGATGCATGTCCACTGCTTTGCTGTGTTCCAACAGCAGATTGCAGCTACCAAAGACAGGATCAGTTCATTGTATGTTCCCATCAAATAAGTACGGCTTAATATTTTAGGTTTGAAATTTTGTGCATAGGCCTAGGTGGATCCAAATTAGCAACCATGCTTTGGTATGTTAAAGTCTGAGAACTGCAAAGATAAATTCAAATCAATGAAACAAAACACTCAATGTACATTTTAGAAGACTGGCCACATCATTAAGGGTATCAAGTATATTTAACAAAATTATACCTTTAACTTGAATCCCAAGTTTTTTGAGTGCTTCCTCCACAGACTGGCTCTCTCTTTTGCGCATAAATCCGTTATCTATGTGTACAGCTATAACCTGATCTCGGTTTAAAGCTCGGTTCAGGAGAGCAGTACAGACTGTGGAGTCTACACCACCACTGAGTAAAACCTAAGGATGAAGAAAACAAAACAAAACAAAATTTGGTCAGTTGTTTTCGAGGAAAATGTTAACAAGTAATTTAGATACAGCTATGAGGATCGGAACAGTCAATGATCTAAAGCAAACAAAGTCAGGTAGTGCACTGACCCAATTGTGTAAACTTTCCAAAACCTGTTTAATATATTACCCAAATCATGACAATTCTGCATTTAATTAACCCAAGTAACTTAAGTGTCAGTGTTTGTCAGGCTTTTGCAAATTATCTTTCAGCTTCAATTTAATCTACTTACTAGAACTTTTGATGAGCCCACTTTCTCTTTGATGTCTTGAATGCACTGAAGCTCTCTATTTTCCACTGTAAAGGTACCACTGCATCCCGCAATATCATAAAGAAAATTCTTCAGGATCATTTTTCCATTCACTGTGAGGCTAACTTCAGGGTGGAACTGCGCTCCATAGAGTTTTTTAGATTCATTTGCTATGCCTTCATTGGTGCAAAGAAATTAATATGACAAAAATAAATTAAAAAAAGTGATTTATTCTGCCACACTTTGGCCCAAATCACCAATCAAAACTGAAGATTCTGGTTAAGATTAGGAACACAAATACTGTTACAGATCTAGAACACACAATGCCTCAGAAACCATGAAAGCCACTCATACATCCTAGGAAAGCCATTGTGGAAACAGGAAATCAATGGCATTTATTTTTTCCTCACCACATGATACCTTATACAACACTACAACCAAGCCACACTGACACAGCAGCATCCACATTAAAAGGGTCGGGCTGCTCAAGCTGTGCAAACATCCCTACATTTGCACACTGGATGCAGCAAAGTTTATGTAGCAAAGCAACTTCTGGAGTGGTCTGAGCAGGCATAAGCTCTAGACTGGTTTGAAGGCAAGCTAGAATATGATGAAAAAGAATTAATACAGTGAAAGAGACCATCTTTAAGTCTTTAAAAAGGTCAGTTTTTCTCAAATCAGTTACCTAACTTAAAAACAGTATCTTAAGATTTTTTAATTTTTTTTATGAAAATTTTCAAATAAGCCAGGTGAGTACTTTTGAGATCTCACTAAGTGGCTCAGCAAACTGAAGACCTCTCCAGGTCTCCCATCGCCTAGAAAAAGAGACTCAAAGAGGCTGTTTGGCATTAAATAATTTGAGTAGCTTTCATAAACCAAATCCTAAGGCCCTAGATTTTCCCGTGTGTGACAACTTGTGTCCAACATCTGAAACACTGTTTTCAGTAACACCATTATTTTTGCTCAGTTGAATACTCATCCAATTACATTAAATACAATAATAAGTTAATCAAGCTTTAATAATTGAGTAGTGTTTGACTCGTACTATTATAGTGCAAATCTCAAACATCGCTTACAATGCAGACAACAGTACATGTCTTCCTCTGCCCTGCCTTAAGGGCACACAATATTTATTTCAAAGAGAAACAATACATGCATACTTTAAAATAACAAACTGTAAAAATAGTTTTTTTTTAAAACACCAATTTAAAAACAGGACCATTCATTTTCATGTCTATTTCTTTATCATCATGACAGCACAACATACAAGCAAACTCATAGAAGAAATTGTTAAAAACTTACCTACAAGTTAAATAACAGAGATTCTGTCCCCATTTGGTTCTAATTACTCTTTGCCATAATTCTTTCCTTTAACCAACATTATCAAAAGACAATTTCAGTATAAAATAATAATACCTGCTATAATGTTCCCAGACTGTGCAACGACTTTGAATCCATCAGCTACTTTATCCACACTATCTCCGTGAGTGAGGAGAACAAGCTCTTCCTTCTGAAGGCCCCTAAAGAAAGATTAAAAACTGCAATCAATTAAAAAAAAGAACAAACACCTAACCACCTGCCTTTCCAAGAAAAGCCCTTAGGAATCCAAATAAAAGCACATCTCGACTGACCAGGCCCATCTAAAATATATGCAGGATTTCCTTCTTAAGAACTGTAACATCCAGCTCTGAGATGCCTCCATTGGCAGCTGTGTAAGTTCTTGCACAATACATCCCTCATGCAGGAAGTAATCTAATTCAGGTGGGTTTGTGGGGCTTTTTATAAACATGCTAATAGTGAAGCATTCCCTCTGTGACGTGTAGAGCTATCCAGAGTCTACCAGGATATATGGAAGTACTGCTTTTCATTTCAGTTAAGGGAAGTTTTCTTGCTCAAAACTAAGTATTTTCAGGACAATTTGGGCACCACAGACTTCAGGCAGGGTATAAAGTTCTGCAATACTAGTGGACAAAGTTAATAAAACTGGAACACTGGGTATGAGTGAATGCTTAGAATTAGTACAAGGAACTTGAGAGATGCTGACAAGCTACCAAGCAATCTAATTCTGGTTTTACAAAAACCTCACAAAGCAATCTTAAAGGAAGACAGAAAATTGTTTCAGATTTTCTATTCCCTCTCAAAAATTGGATGGCTGCCAAACAATACAAGACTAATGCACTGCACAGCAGAAGAAGAGCTTACTTAACGCAAAAAACTCTCTTGTTGTGGTACACATTACCATGTCTCAGTGAAGACACTCTACTTTTAAATACTACAATATTACACAACATTCTAAGCAAATATAGCTGTATTTCTAGAATCAAATGAGAAGTTATGCCTAAGTATTTGTTTAAATGAGTGGCTTGTTTATTTATGTACACAGTCGTACAAGTTTTATTACAAATTATCAGATAAGCATGGGTGCAATTTCACCATTTTCTTTAAAATAACCTTCTTCTCATCCAGACACCAATTTCCAGACTGGTATTTCCAATATTGATTTGATAATCTAAAACATGTATGCACCTGAACAGCGAACATGTGTTATCCAGAGTGATGCTGAACACTCCATCTTCTCTAACACTCTTCTTGTGTACCGTACCTCCAAACACCTTATTCATCATCTGTCAAAATAAAAATACTACATGAAAAAGCACCACACAATCTAGTACCACTTTATACCTCAGTCTGCCTGTGATAGACAACTCTAGCCCTCCAATACATACTAACCTAGTTTCTCATTATTATACTCATTTACTACACTGTTTTCCAAAGCTGTAAGAATTCCCTTCAAAATTAATCATTGAGCTGTACTGGGCTCATTCCCTTCTGCTAGCTTTTGGTCAGCATAGCCAGGGACCACCGACGCACAGAATGAGCACTAGAAATTCCCAATGGTAGAAAACAGGTAGAGGTTTGCAAAATAATGCATATGCAACAGTGTACATCCACTTGCACTTATAAAGAGGTGCTCTGCAAATCAGCTGAGTAACTGAAGCCAGTTACCATTAAAAAAAAAAGTTATGCTGCTAAACAAAAACCTAAGTTACCTATCCTTTAGTTAAGGACCCTCAGTTAGGCTTAAACCTCACAAAATCTGTCTCCTCCACTCTGGAGGATCAGTCAAAAACTTGAGTCTATTCCCTTTGTACTACCATATCAGAGTAGTACAGTTTTCATCCAGGTTTTCGCTTTCTAAAGCCTCACCTTGTCATTTGAAGTTGGGTATCTGTATCTTAGGTTCCAGAAGTCTCAAACATTTTTTCTCCTTGCAAGTGTAACTGACAACTTTAAAAATACTTTCAGAGTTTTACTTTCCAACTACTCTAGTTTGCAGAGATTTAATGATTTAGTTTAGACCCAGTTTGATATTATACCAATTGCACTTGACCGATTTCAATCTTTTATAATGAAGTAGTAGTGTATTAATATGCACACTTAATTCATTTCTGTAAAGTCAGTCTTAAGGAACTCCCCTACTTGATGCCAGATAACAGGGTTTTCAATTTTCCTGGCATTTTAAGGCATATTTTTAACATAACATGTTTCCCTTTAGAACAGGGAGTGCCAACACCATTTCCATAATTACCAGCATTCTTAAAGATTTTCCAGCCCAGTAAATCACTAACTCTGGAAAAATCACAAGCTGCACAAGCAGAAATCATGCATCTAATCCACCCCTTGTCATCTTGGAAGTTTGTTTCTTCATTCACAGCTTGGATCTACTAGATCACTGCAGGATTACCAGTCAGTCCTAAGGTAAATAAATATCAGATGCAGGGGGAGGTGTTTAAGCACTAAGAGCTATCCTAAAACCATTCCATATTGTACTTGTATTCATGAGGGGCAATTTTTCCAACATCAACTAGAGAGGATTAGTTTGACATCCAGGTTATATTTATTCTGACAATAAAAAACTGAGGGTAGAACTCAATTCACAGTACTTAAACATTTACATTATTGATATGGCAAAGCCAAGAGAAGAATACATACTATACTCAGTTTAACAATTAAGACTTTAAAAATATCTTTTGCACATGTGGCATACTGCTTCTATTTGAAAAGAAGGTCCTGTAGAAGTTAATGTCAGAAACAAGGCCTAAAAGATGGCTGTAGACAACCACAACTTGCAACAGCACCTGCATGCCATAGCAGATTCCAAGAACTGGTTTTCCTATTGTAAATATTGCTGGGTCAAACCATGGTGCATCTTCTGCATACACAGAGTTTGGTCCTCCAGATATAATGATAGCTCTGCAGACAAAAGAAAAAGTAAACATTAACTAAAATGTATTGGTTACTTTGAAATATCTATTTGCTTTAAACACTCTTAGAACTCTATGTATTCCGATATAAATTTTATCACAGATAACCTAACATTATAGCTTAACTTTGCTATGCTACAGCTGTCGAAACCAGCAGCTTACCAGAGAGGTATTTAATCAGTTTAAACAAAGTCAAGTACAAATGACCTTAAAAAGTAACTATTTTAATTCCTCACAGATGAGAGTCAACTGCAAGAGAAGGCAAGACAGGATCAAATGCAAAGTATTTGCATTAAGATACTTCATGTCTGCACCATCAGGAGGGAAGCTGTGTTCAAAAAATCTGACTCCTAAATCTTTAGAGCTGCTGAGAAAATGTCCCTTAATCCATCCTGATTACAAAGTATAATGGCATTAGCAACAGGTTGTGAATTAAAAGTCCAACACATGCAAATATGTATGGTTTGAAGTTAATACTTCAGGCTGTAACAGAAAATTAAATATTTTCTAAGGGAAATAGAGAGCTTTTGCAAGCCACAATGATTTGCAAGATCATGAACTGCAGAAGCACCAGCCAGTTAGGCAATGCATTTTGGCCTCAGCCCAGGATCGAATATGGGTGTACCGGACTTCACCCACTGTTTATTTCACAGAGAACATCAAATTTGTTATTTGGAGCAAGAAGGTGGAGGGCTGGACAGAGGCACTCCTCAGAGCCAAAGTATAGCAGCTTGTGAGTTGGACAATACAGCATTTATTTCTTTGTATGCTGGGATCCACAAGTGAGCTTTGGAGTAAGCATATAGCTGACAGAGGTGCAGATGGAAGGGATGCCATCCAGAGGGACCTGGACAGGCTCAAGGGGTGAGACAGCACAAACCTCATGAAGTCCCACAAAGCCAAGTGCAACGTCCTGCACCTGTTTGGAACAATCCCCAGCACAACTACAGGCTGGGCAGGGAACAGATTGAGAGCAGCCCTGAGGAGGACTTGAGGATGTTGGTTGATGAAAAGCTCAATGTGACCTGTCAGTGTGCGTTTGCACCCCAGAAAGCCAACCATATGTTGGGCTGCAAGAATGCAATACAGAATGCTATTTAATATTAAAGGAAATATAGCCACACAAAAATTGTACATTCTTATGAGAAGTCAAAATAGCTATACACTGTCCTGTTAAAAAAAAAAAACGAGTCTTAAAAATCTACTTTTATCTCTACCAATTTAAATCCCACTGAATATAGAAAGGTTATCCAATGTGTCCAAGCATTAAAGAAAAAGAAATAATTATGATCTGAAGGCAAGGGATACACCTGCATCTTCTCAACTATCCAGGAGAAATTAAAACCAGCATGGAATACAGATTTTGCAAGTTCTACTGCACTACCATGTAATTTCTTACATACTTACTTGCCTTAGTATGAATATAACTTTTTCTGGCTTACCTTAAACCACTTCCCAAGCAATCTGACCTAGCTTTGGAAAGCCTGTTTGCAATGGATTAAAGGCACATCAGGAACCATGTAAACATACCAACAGTAAAATGCATGCATTGACACCCCAACCTCAGGACTTATGCCAGAGCTCAGACAGTGCCAGAATTCAGACTTACACCAGCACAGCCCGTGACTGTGACGCCCCTTCAGCCCTTGTGAAAGGAACTTGTGGAAACTCCTAGAATTTATGTCGTATTTAGACGAAACTTGTCACTAGAGATTGCTCTGAAACTATGAAAATTGAGGAGCTGCCTTTTTAAACACAATATATAAATACAGTTTAGCAAAATGTTCAGTCTTGCTGCCTGTCTCAAACCTTAGCACAGACCAAAGCACAGTTCCTTGGCCCATTCAATGCCTGGGTTACAATATGGAAAACGGATTATTCCCATGACACATGGAATATATCTAAAAATCTTGCAGTAAAAGCACAGACCCATTTTTATGGTAGTCCCTGAATAAAGATACCCAGTGGCTGACATCAGTATTTGTTGAGCTTTCCTGGATGCAAACAACTGACTGAGATAGCAGACACAAAGCTTACTGACCAATCTGGGTAACCGATAACCTGAAGTCACTATTTAACCTTGAGAAGTGACCTTTCGAATTAAGAGGTTTTGCCACATTTTAGAAAGCAATTATTTGGAATGAGAAGTCCAACAAGTTTAATTATAAGACTCTGAAAAACGTTCAATTGTGAAAAGAAAGGGGGAAAAAATGTCACTACAAACCTGCATCAATACAGCACATATCTGAGACTGAACATCATTAGTACTATAACCTACACCTCATACCCAACACAGAGGAGTTGCAGGTATTCTTTTTAAACCAGCAATTAGATTTGTCCATCTTTTAAAGATTTGATTGCTGGAAAATAGAAAAAAAATCTAACAAGTATTTTTCAAGACATTCCTGAAAGATAAATTCTTCACACAACAGCTACCCAATAGACCCAGAAGTTCCTGGGGTTTCTGTTCACTGTATTTTCAGAACAGATCAGCAAGTTTCTATTTAACTTACTAAAATATACTGTTTACTGGTTCTCTAATTATCAGTGATTAGAAAAATGCAATTCTTGGCAAAGCACAGTCTTTTATCAGGCCTGTTATCAGGCACAACTAAGCAGCATATATGCATCGTATTTCCACATTTGTACCAAACTAAATTTTTTGATGATTTGTAGCCTTTGGGGTATTTATTTTCCCCACCCAAGGGAAATGTATACCCTGGTAACCCTAATAAAGCAAGAAAAAGAGATGTACAAAGTACTAAATGATTGTAAGATGTTCTCTTGCTGCAAACAAGGAGGAGTAGTTTCAGTTAGCTTTTTTGGTTGCTTCCCAGAAACTGTTTGGCATGATTATAGTTTACCACAATACCTTCAGTACCCAAGTTAGTGATTTTTATTTTTTTTTTTACTTACACTGAACAATATTTAGAAACTCACAAGACTTGTTTTCTTCATTAATAGCTACCCTTGCTTAACAGGTAAAACAGCAAGATCACAATTTTTTTGCAGATCCATTTCTAAAATGCAACCTCTTGAATTATACTCACAAATGGAAATAATCAAAATGACATTAAGGCATTAAGAAGCAAAAAAAAAATATTTTGCTGCACAAATGTCCCCAGCAAAGCTTGGGTGTTTCTGTGGATAAGTTGAAGATGTGATCATTAACATCATTACAATGAAAACTATTGCTCATAAACCCCCAGGCAATTACCACTGCAGTAGACATCTACACATCAAAAGGAGAGAAGCAGCAGAAAGTACAGGCAGAGGCATTGCAGGAAACAACCTACCGAAACCCTTGTTCTCTGATTGCAAAGGCTGGCGTTTCCAAAGGGAAGATCTCAGACTGGACAAACAGCTCACGTACACGACGATCTATGACTTTTCCATACTGTGCTCCGGCATCGAGTATGACGACGGCTCCCTCGTAGTGGTGCTGCCCATCCTTGAGCTCTCCTCCAACGTTCTCTGGCTGCGAACATCACTCACATCAGTGCTTTATGATGACACATTACAGACCACAGAATATAAAAACACTCTCTCAAACAACTAACACCTGCAAAGCTTACTAAGGTGGCCTATATGTTAACTTCTGAGTAAAACAGGAAAGATGAACCAGGAAACTTCTTCATGCAAAGATCCTCAAGTTTATAAGGACCATCAGATGGGTGGCAAGATAAAGTGGCCACATACTAATATAGCACATCCCTCCCAGTCAGCCAGACAAACATGACACCCCTATTCCTCAAAACAAACAGGGTACAGATTATGGAAGAAAAATTCTAAGACGCTAATGAGAGTGAAGCTTTCCATAAATAAGAAATCATGTGCCCTGTTCACCACTACAGTCACTCCAGCTTTTTCCATTTTACAGTTCAATATAAAACTCAGCATACTCTATGATAATTAAGAGCATGTGCCTTTTTCGAGTGAAACAGGACAGTGCAAAAGCAGAAGAAAAAAGCTTTTCCCCATCACACTGCCTCATACACTGAATTTCAATTCACATTACCTCCTGGAGAGAATAAAAAGGAGAAATTGAGAACAAATGTCTCCAAACTATTTAAAAAAAACCAAAAAACAAAAAACCAACCAAACAAACAAAGACAACAAAAAAAACAAACCCCAACCATCTTTTGAATGCAGCATTCAAGCAGATTGCGCATTGGAAACAAGCAATAGTTCTCTTTGACCCCATCACATTTGTACTGGTTGGTCAACTTCAGCTAAATCTGAAAGAGGGCTAGAAAATGCAAAGAAGAGGTTTTTCTTAAAAAAAAAAAAATAAAAAATCAAAGAAGAGAGGCAGCTATTCCATGGAAGTGTACTTATCAGAGGACCTTCAAGGAAGAATGTGAACACAACCTTACTGTAAGACACCAATAAATTAATGCAGAAAAAATTCTGCTGCTTAAAGAAATTGCTTACTTTAGGGGTACTTTTCACTTGACTTAAAGCTTACACTGTTTCCCTGACAATGCGATTTGATAAAGGAAAAACTGGGAAGGGTTTTACTTTGGCAAACACTGCTTCAAAACACATCCTGAAGTTTACAATCATTTCAAGTTTTAATTATGGCACGCTGGAGTTCCGCATGTTTGTACCAAGCAACACATCCTTTGACCAAGGTCTCACAGGAGGTTCCCACCATTCCAAATGACGCTGGGGCAGCCTTCATCATGCCATGGTATTTCTATGCGGGTCAATAATCATGCCCACATCAACCACAGGCTGGTCTGGAAGAGAGCATCATCCTGCTGGGACACATTCCCTCCAACAAATACACAGAAAAGGCCTTTGAGCTTTCTCCCTCAACTACAAAGAGATATCACCAATAACTGTCTTCAAATTAGTGAAGGAAAGCAAGCACACTGGAAACTTTCAAAGTTTATACTAGCAGGAAGAGATTTTATCTAAATCAGAGGATGTAAGTGGAAAAAGTAGCGCAAAATTCCTCAAAAGCCTAAATCCAGGTTAGAGTCAGTTACTTAATTTTGTAGCTGAGTATGCCCAGCGGGGAGCTCTGAATGACTTTTTACTCTTTGGTTACTCAACAAAAAGGGCACACATTGGAGGAGAGCAGACTTCAGCAGCAAATGCCCCTTCAAACCCTTTGTCAGATGGAAAGAGGGCACCAGAACTGCCTTCCCTTCCAGCGGTACGGATTTACTCTACACTTGTAGAGTAATTCTGGGCATTTTCACCCAACAATTTCTAAGAAAGACCCCTTACTCTTTAATTCCCTTATTCTTTCTTGACCCCATCTTGCAGCACTACAGCTTTTTGCAAGTCTTTAATTGATTCAGAGCATGTACTGTAGCTGGTACAATGAAGGGTCAGAGCCCTGCAGTCCTCTCGGCTTCATGTCTGAGACTGTCCACCACCATCTGCAAAAGACCAGCATGGGAAACAAGCCATGGGCACAGATGCATAGCCAGCCCTTGCACAGATGAGCCTCATCTGCCAGCAGTGCTGCCCTCACATGATGCCCCAGTGCTTCTCAACCTGCAGAACGAGTAAGAAGAAAGTAGTACAACTCTGCAAAGGCAGCTTCTGTATTTTACAGTCAAAAAGACTAAACCCAAGTTATTGTTGGCATCAGCTCAGCTGGATTGACAACCAAGAGTTTACATCTGTAGCTAGTAAATAAATCTCATTTTCAGTGCCCTACCCTGAAGAAAGAGAGCTGCTTTTGTTTTGCGCAATCATGTGCAGTTAGTGGGGCTAAACACAGCTCTGGGGGAGATGTGTGTGAAAACAGCCAGAGTTCAAAGTTACATTGGGAGGAAACTAAGAAATGTTGCATAAGCAGGTCCGTAACTCAAATGAACCTGTACCTTCCTTAGTTCTCCTCAGCAAATGCAGGACACCGATACATCCCACTTCATCACAATGAACTGGACAAGCCTCCCATGTGGCAGTCCCTGGGATGTGAGCACTTGGCTCCCTTCACTGAGCCCACCCTGCTGCACAACGATTAGAAGAACACTCTCACAGACAACCGCATCAACATAAGAATAATTTCTTCATCATTTATGTGGGCCTGAGAGATGGCTGTTTAAGGCTTCAAGTAATAGCTCACTGCACAAGTTTTGCTGGGAGTCCACCAGTACTCTCCCAAAATCTCCAATCCAAAAAAAAAAAAAAAAATCACAGGACCATAGATAACCATAGCTCAGGATGTTTTTCTTCAGATGATGCTAAGGGCATTTTAAGCTAAGATCAAGTGGAAGCACTGCATCAGCTGAGCAACACAGATCTCCTTATGGGGAATATATAAGATGTGCAATGTGCATGTCAACAAAAAGAAAAAAAAAATTAAATTGGTGGCCTAATAACTCGCTGCTTCCTTAGATGTGGGCTTAAACTATGGGCTGAAATAATTTCCTCTCAGTCACTGCCCACTGCAGCCAACTTTGTAGCATGTCCCCAGCACACATCCAAGAAAGCCCCATCCCAAGAGTTAACACAGGCACTATCACCACACAGACTGTGTCAAAGTTTTTGTACTTCACTTTTGAGCTAACATAGAACTGTAAGAAGGTTCAGCTCTGAAGAGAGTCCAACAGAAATGCTACCACAAATCACACAGAAAAAGGAGAAAGGCAGTAAGTCAGTGCAGGATCTGGCTTTATTTATTTAAAGGCACAGTTCCAAGCCTAGAGATTTTTAACCCAAATTTAACAAGGGAAACTTCTTTTTAATAAAAATCAAAAAAGGAGCAGATGCTGTTAATGTGCAGCCAACATGGCAGCTTAGCTCATGTGTATGCGTATCATACAAATGCCAGGAGAAAGATGAGGAGGACACCAGGCAGCCCAGCTCCTGCCAGTAGAGGGTTGATGGAGCCAGCACCTCTTCCTAGTAGGGATTTTCCAGTTTCTAATAAAAGCTCTTTTACCCCATCCTTCAGTAGGGGTATAACTGGAGTTCCTTGTCTTCTCCTGCTATTTTCACAAAAATCTGGAGAACTTGCTATTTGTGAAAACTTCTCTCTAAGCTGGTTTGACCTCTGTCCAAGACATTCAGAGTGCTGGGGCACAGCAGAGGCACCGTTCTGACATCCCGAGAATTGGACTAAAACCAGAACGGAACTTGTGTGTGCCCAGAGAAAAATCGGGGGGGGGTGGGGGGGGGAAGAACACCTATATTCATCTAATTTAAATCACAAGTCACCCTGAAAACCACATCATACATGAATATATATACAAATATTTATATATATATTAAAAATAAATTATGAGTTCCAGAACAAGCTGTGGTGGGAAACCTGCCATCATGTTAGCATTACCAGCTGAAGACACAACATATCTTTTTCCTTGGTGTACCTACCTAGCACTTTAAACTAAGCTTGCAGGTTCCTAACAGCCCACTTCTGCAGAACCAGGGAATTTTTCAGCACTTCACACACCCACATGCTCATGTGATTTTCATTAATGCAATTTATAAACCACACTAACATACTGAACAGTCATATTCTGGAGTACCAAGAAGCACCTGGCAGAGGTGCAGCAGCAGCCCCTTTGTCCAACCCCTCAGCTTTCACCCCCATTAATTACTTAGGACATGCCTAAACCAGGAGCCTTGATCTAGCACTTTCAAGTCAGCACAGGTTTTACAAGAGTTTAATTGTTTCCCTGTGGTATTAAAATTAGGGAGGTAGAAGAATGCTTACTCATATTTTGTGAAAGTGTAACAGGAAAGTAACTCCTTCAAACTCCAGCAATCCCCAAGACTGATACACAGCCCCCAACCCATTATCTCAGGCAAACTTTAATATACAAAAGTCACATGCAGATTTCCAACGGCCGCTGGGACCCAGCCCCCTGCAGAAGCTGCTCTCATTACCCACTTCCTGCGAGAGCACAGCTCTTGGAAGATGAGCTTTGCATCTCAGGTCTTGCTCTGGGTGCAACCACCCCAGGAAAGAGGAGTCCTCTAGAGCAGCCCGGGCCACAGAAGGTGATTGTGTCACTGCTTAGGGGAAAGCACATCAGAAACTCAACTGGGGACCAACTGGGCAATTAATAAAAATCCTCAGTCGCTTTTTCTTGCAGGGTAGATAAAAGTCTAGAACAAGGCTTTCATAGTACTACAGAAGCAGCTTGAGGCAACTTGCAGGGTTTGGGTTCAGAAGTTGCATTTACAAGAAAAAGCTTCAACTTTCATACAGGCACACAAGTCATTTGGTCACCCCGGCATACAAGATCTATGCTGACACGCATCTGTTTTGCTACTGTCACTGCAAGCCAGACACGGAGTGACACCGAAGGAGTGGCGTGACCCTGGGGGTCTCAGACCCAGCACAAGGGCTAGTATGGGCTGCCTGCCCGCTCCTGCAGCAACTTAACAAACCAACTTTTCTCTCAGGCTGTCCGAACGACTAACCATTCTGCTTGGGATGTGACGGCCTAACAGTGTGGGTCCCTCCTAGGCAAGGCGCTGGCCGTACCCCTGGGAGCCCTGTTCTGGTATCGCCCCGCGGGCTGTGCAAGGCACCGAGCAGACCCTGCCACCCCACAAGCCAGCATTCAAAAGAAATCCCATTGTGGCATTAATTAATTTTCCCAGAGCAGCCGCTGTGGCGAGCGAGGAGCAGAGGGGCGCGGGGCACGGGGCACAGGGGCCGTTACCAACCGCCGGCGTAGCGGACGGGTAGCAACGGCCCTCACGGCCGCCCGCCCGCCCACCCAGCCCCACTCTCCGGCCTGCTTCGCAGGGCCACTCGCAGCCCCCGGGAAGCGGCTAGAGAAGAAGGCCAGGCCCGCCGCACCATGTGCCCGAAGACGGGCCCAGCAGCAGCGGCGGCGGCACAAAAGCGCCCGTTAGGCCCAGGGCAGGAGGCGGGCAGTGTTCCGGAGCGGGCCGCAGCAGAGGAAGCGAGGTGGTACTGACCTTGGTGTCGCCGTTGCAGAGGGCCATGGGGTCTGCCGGGGACACTTCCAACCGGCGGGGAGCGGCGGGCGGGCGGCCCCGAAGTGGGGAGGGGGAAGAAAGAGCCGCGAGAAGCCGTCGCCGCGATGAGCTAATGCCGCCGGGCTGCGCCTCCGCCGCGGGGAGGAGGAGCCGCCCGCGCCGGCCCCGCTCCGGCGGAAGGGGCGGAGCGCGGGGCCGAGCTTGGTCGGGGGCGTTGGGTTCTGAAGCTGCGGGTACATGGGGCTGGGCGGGGAAGCGGGGAGGTAACGGCTGCGGCGTAGCCCGGGCTGACCCCCGAGCTTCAGACTCGGATCCAGAGTCCCGCACGGTACGGGGGGTAGTGTTAACGGTTCAGGTGGCTGAGAGAGACAGCTGCATCTGCACAGCTTCCCTGAAATGCTTCCGAAGTACTTCTGACCCTTAACGCTCAACTCCCACCACCCCACCTGCGAGAAGGACGGGGGAGTGGTGCGAGGGCAGGGAGTCCAGATAGTTACGCTTGGAATTATATCTCCCGCACCACCCCATTCTGAGCGATTTTGTCGCAAGGTTGGCATCAATGTACAATTTTTGTTCTAAAGGGGTGGGGTTTTGTAGGGGATGTCACTGTTATGCGTTATTTATAACTACACCATGACCAGACCACTCGAAGTATATATCTTGCTTTTCGTCTGTTTTTAACGCCTGAAGCATCCTTCCGTTTCACAGGTGTTTTAAACTCCTCAGAGACTGCCACGCGGTTGAAGCTCTCCTGTTCCTGCGCTCTTCCTCCGCTACCGCTCACCAGTGAGCCCCACAACGGTCTCCTACGGCGCTAGGACCGGTACCTCCACTCCCACCCGCTCAGTACAGTCGCGGCTCCGCCTCACCAGCAGGGCGGGACGGTACCTGACGTATGTCTGCGGCGCACCAATGAGCCGCAGCCAAGCCTGCCGCCAGTGCCCGCGTGCCCGGAAGGGGTGGGTTGGCAGTTGTCCGGCCGGTGTGCGGCGTTTGCTAGGCGGGGGCTTCAGCTCCAGTTTCGGCCCCTGCAGACGCAGCGCGGTCCCGGGGCCGCCGTCGCTGCTAAAAGTATGTCGCCCGCTATCGCGGCCAAAGAGGGCGGCCGGCAGCGTCGGGCCGGGAGCCACCATCACCACCACTGCCTGGACGTGGGGAGCGAGGCGCCGCCCGCCCTGGCGCTCTGCGGGGATGGTTTGCTGGGCGGTGAGGCAGAGGTGCTGCTGCCGCCGGAGCGGAGGCTACGGGGATACCGGGCGGAGCTGGGCAGCATCCTGCTGCTGCTGGTGCTGTACGTGCTTCAGGGCATCCCGCTGGGACTGGCAGGTAGCGTCCCTCTCATCCTGCAGAGCAAGAGTGCCAGCTACACGGACCAGGCCTTCTTCAGTTTCGTGTTCTGGCCCTTCAGCCTCAAGCTGCTCTGGGCCCCCTTGGTGGACGCCGTCTATTTACGAGGCTTTGGCCGCCGCAAGTCCTGGCTGGTGCCCACGCAGTATGTGCTGGGGCTCTTCATGATCTACATGTCTACCCAGGTGGATGTGCTGCTGGGCGACGGGGAGGGCCGGGGCCCCGATGTGGTGGCCCTTACTGTGTCTTTCTTCCTCTTCGAGTTCCTGGCGGCGACTCAAGACATTGCGGTGGACGGCTGGGCCCTCACCATGTTGTCCAGGGAAAACGTGGGCTACGCCTCCACCTGCAACTCAGTAGGCCAGACGGCTGGCTACTTTCTGGGCAACGTTCTCTTCCTGGCCCTCGAGTCGTCCTCCTTCTGCAACAAGTACCTGCGGTTCCAGCCCCAGCCTCGAGGGATTGTTACTCTCTCAGGTATTGCTTGGATACCACCGGCCTGTGCGTGCTGATGCTGGGATGGGGATGCTTCTTCCCTGAGCCTGGACCCAGGAGCTCAGGGAATCTCTGTTCGAAGCGAGCAGTGTGAACCGAGCAGGTTTGGTTTGTCTTCTGTCTATGAGAAAGCACAGCCTGCCTGGAGGCTGGCAGAGTCTAGCCCTACATGCACTTCCAGGCCTCTTTGGGCTTAAGAGTGGGGGAAACTTGCCTTGTCATTGCCATAGCTGACCTAAGCACTTTGGAGGGAATTCCCCCCCCCCCCCCATTTAATGACTGTGGAATAGATTATTGTTTAAAAAAAAAACCAAAAAACAAAAAACAGACAAACCAAAGGCTTTGCTTCTTTTTAAGAAGGCCTTTTAAGAACATCTCTAGGAGGAAAGAGAAAAAATAAAAAATAACTCTTACCAGATAGTATTCACAGAAGTATAAATGACAAGTGTTCAGGGGTGACCATATAGCCAGTTTCTGAAGGAAGGCCCTATCTTGATGTATTAAAGGGGACTTTGGTTTCTCGTTAATAGACTAAATGAGGTCTGGTAATCCAACCATAACTAGCTATTAGTTTAGGGATGTCTTCTCCTTGGTGGTTTAGGGGTTGCTTGGGGGTTGTTTTGTTTTTCTTGTTGTTGGTTATTTTGGGTTCTTTTTTTAAGAAAGATATGTGGTGGTTGATGTTAGGCATATTACCTGGAAGGTGTTTAAAATGCATGTTTTGGTTTTAAGGTTGAGTTTAGCCAGCTCAGCCTATGGGAGGACAGGAAACACTGGCACCACTTCTGTTTGCAGTCTTACAGTGACCATGCAGTGAAGAGTAAATTCTCACAATTTTAGTTTCTTTTCCATCTCTTACATTGATTCCTCTACCTGTATCATCTAAGAGAAAAGGTATGCCAAAACTGAGTTAAATTGTTGTTTAAAGGCTAGTTTTGCTTTCTATCCTGTACCTATCTTAATAAATCGGAATATCAGATTCCAAAACTGCTGTACTTATTTTTGTCTATGCAGCTATTGCAGTTGCTAACTAGCCTTCCTCTTCCATTCCTTTTGATAACCCTATGTCTAGTCTATGTGTCAACCAGCATGGAGTAGTTCTCAAAGTAACACTGCTCGTTTATTGCTTCCCTTGGTTTTCCTTTACTGTGTAGTTTGTCAGTGCTGGTGTACCTCTTCCTTTTTGCTGCAGCAGCAGACTGTCGTCTTTCAACTGCTGATACAACTTGCAAATCGCTGTTGTATTTAGGAACTTGATTTGTCCACACCGTTGTCCTTCTGTTGTTGTTTTCTTGTTTTGGGTTGGGTTGTCGTTTTTTTCTTCTCAGTACTGTTTGTATAAATTAATTTGATGCTACTGTAAGAGTGCTTTCTTTGAAAAAAATAACAATAATCCCAAAACCTAAAAACAGTGTGACCTGTTTAACTTGTCCTGGAGTACTAACCTGGGTGGAGTTACCAAATGAAGGAACTCTGACACTACAGTTGCAGGATATATTTTTGGGGGATAGTAAAATGAACTGCAAGAAATTCCTGTTGTTTTGTTCATGTGACTGTATTCCACAATTTGCTGTGCCCACATTTCTCCTGAAGCAGCTGTAGAGCAGCAGTACTGTCAACACTCTCACTGACATGAGAAGAGTAGCTTTCTGGCCCTAGTAGGGCTTGTGATGAACCAGTTCAGGCAGTTAAAGCAGCAGAAAACGTTACAGTTTCAAAAGGTGAATAGTCTTCTGCTGGTTCAAATTTCTGACCGCTTTCGTCATAGGCTGAGTACCCATGCTGGGGAAAGAGCACATCAACAGTTCAGGACTCCAGTCAGCCTCAAGTTGTTGATAAGCAACAGCATTAGTTGTTCTTGTTAACTTTGGGAAAGAATATGGAAAAAAAGTAAAACCATTCAGCAAAACAAATGCTGTGTTATGTCATTTCAGGCTACAGTTCTAGGGAAGAAAACGAGAAACACATTTATTTGGGCATGCATATGAGTTTAGGTCTTGGCTGTTCAAATTAGTTTTTTTAAAGGCTTACTGGCTGGGTCTTTTGATTCCTGCCCAGTTTGCCATGCAGTCATGTGAATGCCTGCTCCAGCAGGAAGAAGTGCAAGAAGAAGGTGCCACTTCAAGGCAGCCCAAATGTATGTGGGCCGGTGACTGTGCAGTGCCCCTTTTCCTGGGAGGAGATACATTGCCATAGATTACTTAAAGCTGTTGCAACGAAACACCTGTAGCCCATGCACACCTTGTTGATGGCTATTTTCCAGCCAGGTCTGGCCCTGGTCTAGTTCAAAAGTTTGGTTTTCCCCAGTGCAATGGTTTATTTTGTTAGTAGCAATGTAGGGGCAGGGACAAATTAGGGATGGCAGTAGACAACAGTGGTGGCACCATAAAGTTTGTGCTAGAAATACTTCGTGTAAATTATATTTTTAAAGTTTTTGCCTCTTAGTGGACTTCACGGTGTTTGAAATGAAGTGTACCTTATGTTTGTGTAAACTGCTTGCAACCACAAAAGGCTTTGTTTTGTTTTATATATGGCTTTTTGTGAGTATTGTTTTGTTGCTAATCCAGCCATTGCATCACTGCATTACTGTAGCTGACAGGGCTGCCCTGGTCAAGAGTATTCATGCAATGATGCTCAAAGCTATTTCTGTTCCTGTCCTCACATTGTAGACTGCTCGCTGTAGTGATTATGCTTGGCTCTATTATTAGAGTACCTCTCCTGTATGTCTTCTGAAGACAGTAGCTGTGATTAGCATGATTGTGAAAACTCATCTTTTATATAAAAGTATGTGTTCAGGATACCTTTTTTCTACAGAGGAGAAAGCACTCTGGCAGCATTGGTTATGAGATATTCTTTACTTTAGAAAAGGGCAAAGTAGCAGGTATGGAAGCAGCAGAGAATGGTTTGAAATGACTTTTTCTCTTTTATAATGAGAATGGTAGGATATACCTAAAGTAGTCTTCCCATGTTTTCTTAAAGCTTCTTGTGTTTTTTCTCTTTCTGTGTGTAAGGAGCATCTAGTAATTGACTCTGTGCTCTCTTTGCCCCTTCACCAGCCCTCACTGCTTACTTTCAAGTCACAGGCTTCTGGAGTTGCTCGTGACTACTTGTGTCTTACCCCTCTGCATGTTACTGAGTTCTTTCCTGCCTCTTCCACAGAGACAGAGGATAGGATTATCTTGAATTAATCCACTCACTAACTCAAAAAGTAATTGCCATAAAAAATTGCTGTGTTTTTACTATTGTCTTCAAAAGCATCATTTATCAAATATTGTATCTGCTTAAAATAGAGCACATAAAGATTAAC